TTAGGGAGCAACACTGGATCTCAGCAGCATCTATCGCACTGATAGATGCTCGGAAACTCATTCCACCTGGCTCTGAACATAATGAAGAGCGGAGTCAGCTTAAGCGCAAGCTGACAAGAAGTCTACGCAATGATCGTGAACAGTGGTGGGTAGCGAAAGCAAGAGAGATGGAAAAGGCAGCGGCAATAGGTAATAGCAGACAATTGTTCAGACTCGTTAAGGAAACCGGTATTAGGAACCCGACTGTTAGCGAAACAATCTCAGAGAAAGATGGACATATTATAAATTCTCAATCCAGGAGATTGGATCGATGGGCAGAACACTTTAGGGATCAGTTCAACTGGCCTTCAGCCACACTTCGGTTTCCCACGATCTCCAGTCAACCTGAATGGCAAGTTAATGTAGGTCCTCCGTCTCTTTACGAAGTTGAAAAAGCCATAGGAAATCTGAAGCGAGGGAGAGCAGCAGGCCCTGACAGGTTTACTCCTGAGATTTTTAAGGATGGTGGTCCAGTATTAGCAATGAGATTAACTGAGGTCTTAGGTAGAATTTGGGAACTGGACGTAATCCCATCTGACTGGTCTCAATCACTGATTGTGCCAGTCTATAAGAAAGGACAAAAGTCCTCTTGTGACAATCACAGAGGAATCAGTTTGACTAATATAGTGTCTAAAATATTAGCTTCAATAATACTTCGACGCCTAATCAAAGCTCGTGAAGAGCAGATTAGAGAAAACCAGGCCGGTTTTCGACCTGGACGTGGTTGTATAGATCAGATATTCACACTACGTCAGGTTCTAGAACACAGACACACGTTCAGACGCCCCACAATGGTAGTATTTCTCGACCTTAAGGCGGCATTCGACTCTGTTGATCGTAAGGTTCTATGGCAGTGTTTGTCACTGAAAGGAGTACCAAAGAAGTACATTAACCTTATAAAGGCTCTCTACTCGAACACAACTGGTAGAGTGAGAGCTTATGGCGAACTGTCATCAGAATTGATTACCTCAAGTGGTGTTCGTCAGGGCTGTCCACTCTCCCCATTCTTGTTCAACTTTGTCGTTGACGTACTTTTAGAGATAACACTTTCCTCATCTAAATTTCCAGGGGTTGAACTTCTACCGGGAGGTTCACTTGTTGACTTAGAATATGCTGATGACATAGTTTTATTTGGTGAAGACGCTGACAAAATGCAGAGTCTTCTGACCACTCTAAGCAACAATGCAAGCATGTTCGGGATGCGATTCTCCCCTTCGAAATGCAAAATGTTGCTTCAGGATTGGGTTGCATCGACACCCGAACTAATGATAGGGAGTGAAGTAATTGAGCGTGTCGATCGCTTCACTTATCTTGGAAGTCTCATCAGCCCTTGTGGTCTGGTGTGTGACGAAATCTCAGCACGGATACAGAAGGCTCGACTAGCTTTTGCCAACTTGCGTCATTTATGGCGTAGGCGAGATATCCGTCTATCAACCAAAGGACGGGTTTACTGCGCAGCAGTTCGTTCCGTCCTACTTTGTGGCAGTGAAACATGGCCGGTAAGAGTAGAGGATATCCGTAGGTTACTAGTATTTGATCATAAGTGTCTTCGAAACATTGCTCGTATATCCTGGGACCATCGAGTAAGTAATGCAGTTGTTAGGAAACGGATACTAGTTAAGGATGGCAAATCAATTGATGACGTAGTGAAACTTCATCATTTGAGATGGCTGGGACTTGTGCTACCTATGTCCAACCACCGACTGCCTCGACGTGCGATGTTCAGTGGTATAGGAGTAGGTTGGAAGAAAGCTAAGGGCGGACAAACCAAAACATGGCACAAGTCCATGAAGTCACTGACAAGTGGACTGAGTCATGTCGGTAGGTGTATACTACCTGGTTGGTGACCGCGAGATGATAGCAACCGATGGTTAGAGACCCTGAATGACATGGCTCAAAATCGTTTGCAATGGCGCAGGTGCATCTACTCTTTGTGTTCTCCCAAATTTTGATCTCCTTATTTCTCCTTGTCTCTTTTTTTCTCTTCCCAAATTTATTTCACTGTATTATAACCTTTAAATAACATCTCCAAACACTAGTCTTCCCGATTACTGCTTATACTCTTATTACCTCTACCACTACGGGATTTGAATCGACCACTGCATCTGTGTGCTAATGCGGTATGGCAACTCGAACTGATGTACGTACGTACGAAGTTCTACGTTGTTACTGACTGACTGACTGACCACTTTTTATTAGGGGAAAATGGCCTATGTAACGGCATAGTCGTGCGAGCGAAAATATATCAAGTAGAGAGAAGTATGACAAGAACTGCTACAATGAGTGGATAAAAAGCATTTGTTCTCAACCAGTTTGAATGTAATATATGAGAATATATTGATTGTCACTGAGAAACGTGTCCATTCCTCATAGGGTTCTGCAGTTAAATGGGATAAAAACTGCGAGTTAAACTTTAAAAATTAGCATAGCGGAACTGGCAAACTATTATTTTCTTAGAATCTTCGTACGGGCGGTTGTAAAGCGTTTTTGTAGTTAAGACGTATGGTTGTCATTTTTCTGAAAATGACAGTTAAAACAAGTCAGTTATTAATAATGAAAGTGGCCATGGAGTAGCTCTTAAAGTAATCGCTCTTAGTCCCTACGGAAATAGAGTAAACATCGAGTTATCTCGCGACTCTATAGAAGTTGCTGTTATTATTGTCTGTAGTAGGGACTTCTACAGTTTGCTGATCCTAACCACTGGAAAGCTTGCACAGATTTCTGTATGAGTTCGTTCATATTCTTTTTATAATTGGATATCCTCTTAGGTGTAATTTAGTACTAAGATGAATCGTTCGTCTGTTATGGTGAAGAGGACCATGAGGAAATCATACATCTGAATGCTATTCCCCCTAATTCTTTTGTACTGCACAGGTTGGAAGCTTAGGATTTCCTGCAGATCTGCGTATGGATTTTTTAGTCAAAGCACCTTTGTAGCTGCTGTTCTTGGAACGCTTTCGGAGCGAACACTATGCTTCTTAAAGTAGAAGGATAACGCAGATTTTTTTCAGATGAAGTTTGAAGTAAACACATAAATCAGTTCTCAGTTGTTCCGAGATTAGGTTTCCTAATGTTCTGGAAAGAAACTTCAGGACAGAATATGGTTTTTTAGCTGGAGAATGCCAAAAGGAATAGAAATCGGGGTATCACACAGAGTGTTGTCCCAGTCATTTTACTATGGTTGGGAGTGTGTTGCATCTATCACCCAAGAATTACTAGGTGGATAGAGTATCTGTTGGCGATGGGAAATCTCCAAATACAACTTGTGAGAAAAAAACTAATATCGATTCAAGGTGAATTTAGTGTGAATATAAAGTCGACTTTCAATACATTTTCTCATTACTTTGTAGGCTTCCAATGTATTCTCATTATGATTTGTGTTCATTGACAATGTATCAGTTTATTAAATATGACCATTTTAATAGATATATAGGTCATTAACCTAAATATATTTTCTATTAGGAAATTGGAGTTTTTACTCCATTTAATGTTTCATGGAAGACACGAACAGAAATAGTCTCGTTCGTCGTATTAACACTAGAGTTGACAGTTAGTAGACCAGCACACGTATCTGTCAGTATCAACATTGTTTATCTTTAACATTCTAAATTTGGTGGTATTGGTAAAAAGGTGGTTTATGTTCCCCAGCTTGAGTTTTTCTGAAAAACTATGGTTTTCAGTTATTGTTATTATTATTAAATTTAATGTTCTGCTTACTAGAACTAATCCTAGTTGCTGCGAGTTGCATATTTTACGAAGTATATAGGACTAAACAAAACAATTATTAGTAATATTACTGTTAAAACACCCCAAAATAGTTGCGTGTGATTTGTCATTCAAATTTTCTTCTGATCTAATTTAATATTAATCTTTTCACTCATATCGTGAAAAGGAGCTTGTATAATGAAACCGTAATTTTTTCCGGATCTTTTGCGGTAACAATACCCATTAGAAAATAGATGAATGCAGTTAAGCATAGGAACCACGACAAGCCAGTGTTACTCCTCACATTCTTGTGAAGCTTATAGGTATGGTGTTAGCGGGACATGACCGGATTAAAGCATGCTCGATTCACGATTGCTTTGGTGCACGCTGATTGGCTAATTCTTATCCAATCAGCACTAGTCGATAGTTGGAGAATATTCTAGAATCTTCTCATGTAAAAACTATAAATATACTGACGTTTTCTCTATTGTGCTTCTGACTTGCTATTTGGAATATAATCTCTTTCCTGTTCAACCGTGTTCTGATTTGGGGACTTGTCGAGTGAATCGGTGTCCGAGAATACTAAGCAATAGGAATAGCTGGGTCATAACCGTAAGAAGAAAGAGGTTATAACATATGGTCACTTCTTTTTTTGTGTTATTTTATGTAGGATAAATCTAGGGGCTTGCTTTAGTCGGATAATATGAGCCCTAGCATATTTCAGTGACTTTTTCGAGTTATTACACATTAGTCTATCTGCCTTTGTCATCTGAAGCGCAAATCGATTGCTAAATAAACAAAGAGGTCTTAAAAATGTACTTCTGAGTCGTTTTTGTTGAAGAGTTTTCTAATAGACTGATAGTTATTTTACTCTTGGGAGTAGAGTAGACATTCTTACATCACCTGTGTTCAGATTGTTTTATAGTAAAGCTTACCAGATAATTGTACATTCTGTGAGAGATTCGTTTGACAAGTCATTTCTTAAGAAATCATTTCATAAACGTACTATTTACTGAATCAAATCCTCGAAAAGGTTGAATAAAAATAAAAGTTCCACTACTTACAACAGTCTAGATGACAGACCGCAAAATCATAACGGTCAAACACTAGTGAAAACATAGTTTACATATGAAGGCCTTAATATATACTGGCATGTAACTAATATGAAGTGCAGTTGATTCCATGTTGAAATTTCTAATCTTTGAGTACGATTTATTTGTAGAACACTTAGGCGTTCTTAAGTTGATTTTCTGAATATATATATATATATATATATATAGTTGTAACGCTCGCGATTTACTTCGTCTTATGTTATAACGGTTGGGTTTCCACCTACACGTATGGGACGTTGATTTACCTTAAACGATTATCTACACTAGACCCCTCCCAGTGTCTAATCTACAGGACGTCAACACAACTAAGATCAAGAACATGTAATTGACCTGACCACAACGTAAATATATTTGCACACTAAAACCCATCACAATCCACAACAATGAACAAACAATAGTAAGTGTGTTCCAATGATAAGAATAAAGGAATATATAACTCATCTGACACATGTCAGACTAAGCAGACAACCAATCATGATCACCCTCGACCACACATCACCTCCCTCGCGAAGTTTGGTCGTATGACTTCACTTTTGGGTCTATTTGAAAAGATCTCTTTTGTTTTCATTCCCTTGATGATCTTCGTCTAGCTTCTGATTTCAGCTCATTTTTTCTCATTTCAACTTGTAGTGGGGGTTGGATATTAAATATATCACATAATACTTCCATTGGTAAAACTTTAGGTTAAGATGACTCATAAACATTTTTTCTGTCTCGCAGTTGATTGATGTGTCTAATAATTAGTGTATTTTCGACCATCACTTTATACAGTACGGTCCTACGTCTTTTTTTAATACATCTAAATATCCATCGTGGCTTGCCAGGCCGGAAATCACATGGGTAGACTGAGTCATCTGCTTTAAATTCTCGAGTCTTCGGGCCATTCCCTTCCTTATTTTTTTATAGTCAATCATTCTGTCTTTCGGGTTCAAAACATTAAAAAAATGTTCTAATTGGTCATTTTTTTAATGTTTTGAACCCGAAAGACAGAATGATTGACTATAAAAAAATAAGGAAGGGAATGGCCCGAAGACTCGAGAATTTAAAGCAGATTTAGTTTTCAGTTTCAAATTTTCCATAAACTTGCGTTTAAATGTATTTTGTATATATTGGTTTGACATCGCAAAAGTTAGACTTCAGAATTTGAGTATATGGAAGAGAAAAGCAATTCAAGTGTTTTCGTGGCCTCCTTATCAAAAGATGTAAAGAGTTGGAAATATCGTAACAACCATTCCAAGTTTATCACCTCAACTCCAATTAATTGTCAAAATCATCGGAATATTTCATCCGTAAAACAGGTGAGACCTTGTCGTCGATTCTAGAAGCAGTGTTAAATAAATGTTTTGTCACTTAATGTGATATATTAATCACTTTACATCCTCGTTTAAGGGCGTATGTTGAGCTTTTTTCTGAGATGATAATAGATAGAGTTCTTCCAGAGTTGTCCAGCATTCATTTTTTAAAGCCAATTCTGCCTAGTGCAGATCCGTGTACCTGATATCCAAACACACTCTAAGGGCAAAGAGGTTGTCAAGATTCTAATTCTTATGGAAAGCTTCATTGCTAAGTAGCATCGTAACTACTCAATGATGTAATCGGCTCAACAATAACATGGAATGTTCAATAGGATTATTCAGATGCAACAGTATGAATTAAAGTATGTAGGAGAAAAACATCCACTTGGTCTTTCAAGTGTTGACACATAATTGAGCCACTTTCTTATGCCATTTCAAAGTGACGTATCATCTTAAGTACATTTAAAGAGAGGAAAGTTCAAAAACCTGAAGGGTAGGAAGAGATTTAGTATAAAATGCTATAATGATGAAATTTTTGGATGTCCATTTCAGGTCTGGTCTGGAAAGCCGATACGTTGATATCCAGGTACATCTAACTGACAATTCTGTAATGGAAAAAAATATGTGCTCTGAATCCCACTGGAAATAATATTAAGGTATGCAATGGTGAATAACTAAATCACTGTACTTTTACCAAAATTTCAGTGCTTATTCAGTCAACATGCTAATTTCTGTTGTCGCTGAGATACGTCATGCATAACTCCACACTCACGTTAGAGCAGTAAAAAAAATTAAATTCATTTTGGTAATGAAATGATTTGAAGAAGAAAATACTTAAGTCAGCTAAAAATTTAAAGCTTAAATAAGATGATACACTGTTTAGAAAAAAAAGTGGATAAGTCTCTAATTGCCGGTTTTATTTGCCTTACGTAACCCAATCACAAAGCTTACACTTCTGTGTACAAATCAAATCGCTAATGAGCGACTTTGACTTGACATGTGTGTATATTAAATTCAAATGACAAAAACAGAATTCTATTTTCGGTATTTTTCTGTCATGTTTTGGATCTCTATAGGAACTACTAGTATGTATTGCTAAAATGCCACATTCTAGAACTAAACACTCGTTCAATACTTTTCAGTTTGAATTATCGTTTTGATTGATATAGGTATCATTAAGAGAATAGCTGCATAAAATTTGTCAACTTCGTAGAACTGTCAAATTCTAAAACACTGTTGTTTATTCTTTTTTAATTTAACACTTAGGAATCGAGGATCTCGTTTTCAATAAATGAACGCCTAACAAATTTATTAAATAAAATTCTTCCTTTAAAAAAGAAATGGAGCACAAATTTCCATCAGTCATGTATTGTTTTCACAAATCTAGCTTCAAATATTTGTAAAATCCTATCAGGTAAGTTTGAACACATAATTATTCCATTTTGAATCATGCCTTGTACTACACGTAAGTATTCTTGTCCTAACCTAATCAGAATCTTGACAGTTTAAAGGTTTTAGATGTTTCTAGTAGATTCTGACCGTTTTGACATGTGACTTCGTTTACGTCTATCCACATCAATATTCCTCGGAATCCGTGGTAGGAGTTCATTTGTTTTGGCAGTCATATCTTCCCGATTCATCCTTAAATTAAGGTCATATTTAGGTTTTAAAAATATCGGTAAAATTGATGTGACTTACGTTGGCATCGTTTATCCCTCCATGACGTTACATTGGTCGCAAAAGTTCTGAGTAACTAGTTCCACATTAAGGCAATACTTTGCCTCATAGTTAGATTGTATAAAATCGAAAGCCACACATCTTGCCTTCTTAAGTTGACAATGTGATCATATAGAGCCCTGACTAGGATGTCGGAGAATTTCAAAATGGTATAATACTCAACAAGTAACCTGTAATTCTCCATATATCAATCATTTATAATCAACACTGATGAGTAATCAGTGAAGTAAGATTTGACTAGCTACTGGATGTGAATGAACAGACGGATTGTTAACTCTTTAAATATGTGATTTCTTTTCTATCAATGCTTTCTACTCTTTACTTATTGAATGTAGACTGCTTGTGTATTGAGTAAAATATCATCTAGCCTATACTCTGCAATCAATCATAGAGAAATGCCCAAGAAAGGACCTCACCATTCTGATGGGAGATCTAAACGCCAAAGTCGGAATAGACAACACCGGATATGAAGATATCATGGGACGACATGAACTGGGAGAGAGAAACGAAAATGGAGATAGATGTGCAAATCTATGTGCATTCAACAAATTGGTCATATGCGGAACAATATTTCCACACAAACGTATACACAAAGCTACATGGACCTCACCGAACTACACCACAGAGAACCAAATAGATCATATTTGGATCAATAAACAATTCCGAAGGGCAATGAAAGATGTGAGAACCAGGAGAGGAGCTCACATAGCTTCAGATCACCACCTAGTTGTAGCCAATTTAAAACTGAAGCTAAAAAAGAACTGGACAAACAGCACTACAAAGGTTCAATACAGCCTTCCTTCGAGATACTGACAAACTCAATGAATTCAAGATAGCTCTCAACAACAGGTTCCAAGCCTTACAAGATCTACTGAAGAAAGAAGAAACTACTATGGAGGACAACTGGAAAGGCATCAAGGAAGCATTAACTTCAACGTGTCAAGAGGTTCTGGGTCTAAAGAAGCACCATCATAAGGAATGGATCTCTATAGAAACACTGGACAAGATCAAAGAAAGGAAGAACAAGAAGGCAGCAATTAACAACAGCCGAACACGAGCAGAGAAATCCCGGGCACAAGCTGAATACATAGAAGCAAACAAGCAAGTGAAGAGGAGCATTAGAGCCGACAAGAAGAAATACGTGGAAGAACTAGCAACGACGGCACAAAAGCTGCTAGAGAAGGAAATATGAAACAGCTTTACGATACAACGAGGAAACTATCAGAGAAATACAGTAAACCAGAGAGGCCGGTCAAAGACAAAGAAGGCAAGCCAATCGCCGAAGTTCGACAACAGCGGAACAGATGGGTAGAATACTTCGAGGAACTCCTGAATAGGCCGGCTCCAATGAATCCACCAGACATCGAAGCAGCACACATAGATCTTCCTATAGATGTCAACCCACCAACGACGGAAGAAATTAGAATGGCCGTCAGACAAATCAAGAACGGGAAAGCAGCGGGACCTGACAACATACCAGATGAAGCATTGAAGTCAGATATCGAAGCAACTACAAACATGCTTTACCATCTATTCAAAAAGATTTGAGAGGAGGAACAAGTGCCGATGGACTGGAAAGAAGGGCACCTCATCAAGATTCCAAAGAAAAAAGATCTGAGCAAATGTGAAAACTACAGAGGCATTACACTACTGTCAATACCAGGGAAAGTCTTCAACAGAGTGTTGCTGAACCGGATGAAAGATGCAGTAGACGCCCAACTTCGAGATCAACAAGCTGGATTCCGTAAGGATCGGTCGTGCACAGACCAAATTGCAACACTACGGATCATCGTCGAACAATCAGTTGAGTGGAACTCGTCACTATACATCAACTTCATTGATTATGAAAAGGCATTCGACAGTGTAGATAGGAGGACATTATGGAAACTTCTTCGACACTACGGAGTTCCTGAGAAGATTGTCAATATTATCCGGAACTCATACGACGGACTACAGTGCAAAGTCGTGCATGGGGGACAGCTGACAGATGCATTCCAAGTAAGGACTGGAGTAAGACAAGGCTGTTTACTCTCTCTCTTCCTCTTTCTTCTGGTGGTCGACTGGGTTATGAGGACCTCGACATGTGAAGGAAAACACTGAATGCAATGAACAGCCCAGAATCAATTAGACAATTTGGACTTCGCAGACGACCTAGCCCTCCTATCGCATACACATAAACAAATGCAGATGAAGAAAACCAGCGTAGCAGCAGTCTCTGCATCACTGGACAAGATCAAAGAAAGGAAGAACAAGAAGGCAGCAATTAACAACAGTCAAACACGAGCAGCAGTTTCTGCATCAGTAGGCCTCAGCATACCCAAAGGGAAAACCAAGGTCCTCAAATTCAAAGCGGAGAACATCAATCCAATCACTCTTGATGGAGAAACTCGGGAAGATGTAGAATCGTTCACATACCTGGGAAGCATCATCGATGAACAAGGAGACTCAGATGCAGACGTAAAGGCAAGGATTGACAAAGCAAGGACCGCATTCCTACAATTGAAGGACATATGGGACTCAAAACAACTTTCAACCAATATCAAAGTGAGAATCTTCAATACCAACGTCAAGGCAGTTCTACTGTATGGAGCTGAAACTTAGAGAACTACAACAACCACCATCAAGAAGGTACAAGTATTTATAAATAGTTGTCTTCGCAAGATACTCAACATCCATTGGCCGGATATCATCAGCAACAGCCTTTTGTGGGAGAGAACAAATCAGCTTCCAGCTGAAGGAGAAATTAGTAAAAGACGATGGAAATAGACAGGACATATATTACTCAAATCATCAAACTGCATCACGAGGCAAGCTCTGACCTGGAATCCTGAAGGGAAGAGGAAGGCTTGGTTAGATTAATACAGTTTACTGTATTGAGCCAAATCACATACTTCATTTATAAAGTATGAAAACATTACATTAAATGCACCATTTGTACATCTTTAAATTATCTTTTACAAGTTCCATCGTTCTTTCATTACTGCTGCTTCTACGTTTCTCTCCCTTTTCTCATTTTCCTCTTCTGTCAATAAGAATCCTACCTCCAATTCTTGATACATACTACTTATATCTTGTGGTGTCGGTTATTATTTTAAAGCCATGTACCTTATTCTAGTTTTCGGACAGGCCAATCTATTCATTCTACTTGAGTCATATTTTGACCTTATTATTTATTCGCTTATCCATCTTGACTGATTTTTATGAGCGCATATATGTATGCACATTTCTTATCCTAATAATCACATGTCTTTAACTTATTTTTGTGTGACTATAAATATTGATTGACGCTTGACTAAAGTAAAGGGAGTTGGCTCACAAGCCTTCTCCACTGCGCGTCGTTCCGCTTCATTTCTCCGATATATTGTCTGGATCAAAGATTGTGTGAAATATACGTATTCGAAATTCATTCTCGTATTTGACTTATTTAGTTCCGTTATTGACTAACGCAATTTAAATCAATGATTATATACGAAGATAGGCGACATTATTTTAGTTGCCCGTGTTCTGACTCCAAGTAAATCGTATAAATGATTGTTATTGAAATATATATAATATGATATCAACCTCTAAAAGAAACTTCCAACTAAATTGATCGTTTTTCCAACACTGTAAATATAAAGCCAGTCATTATCGTCAGTAGGAAAAAAATCATAGCGGATAGTTAATAAAAAAGAGGTTTTTATATTTTTTCTCTCGTTTCTGATGTTAGTATGAAAAGTCTAATTTACTGATATAAATCTCCATGATTTACTTCTATGTTATTTCAACTTACCAACCGACCAATTTTCCGAAGAATCATGAAATTAAAATTACATAGTAAGAGACATACTACTTATTAAATAATGGCTAATAAAATTAAAAGGTGTATGTTTTCAAAGCTTTGTTTCGTATTTTAAATTTTCTCACAGGTTCATCATCCTTTGAGAATCGTGATGATTTTGTCACTTATGGATTGTGTAATCTATATTTAAGTGATAATTTAGAACAAATGACAAAACTTCGTGATGGTCAAATTTTGGAAACCTATTATGATAAACTAAATGAATGTATAAAAAATATGGAAGATTGTGGCGTACAGCTAATTTCTGTGGTTAGTGTTTTTGTTCTTCGTCATAGTATTACGTTTATTCCCTATATTTATCAATATGGTCCACATCACAATCCGTTAATCGTTTTCCAACCTATTGGATGTCGCGAAAACAACACATTCCTGACTCATTTTTTACAGTTCCACTTAAAAATTTCACACTATTCATTGTTCAGTGATATATTCGTACTGTTTCTCAACTCCAACTCCAATAGGACAAACGAGACGACTTCTATTTTTCTCTTTCATACTACAACAACTAGAGTAAGGACTTCAGTTTCCTAATAGGAATTTTTTCAACAATTTGATTACATCTTTCTGTTACTATCCCCATGTGTCTATTATCATGTATGCTTAATCCTGCGTTAAAGCTCACACCTATATTCTTCTCACTAGCTCAAATGTTGGCCTATTCATACACTCGTTTCTCTCTCGTTGGCATTCCCATCATGTGCGTGGTGGCTTTGTGATCTGTGCTGAGCAATCGTAAGCTGTAGTCATTGCTTCGCATTGTTTTCTGAAATTTGTATGCCATTGGGAGTTATCTAATAACGGTTTTTAGGACGAGTGATAAACGAAATTCCACATTAAACTATGAAACTAATACATCATTGTCCCTTATTTTGTTGCGCCTTTTTTGAAAACACTCATCAATATTGTCAATACACAATACAATAACAGAAAAGATACATAGGATACCCGTTTATTGACCTATTAACTCATGTCTATTGCCCGAAACAAAATGGTTTGTTCGTTCTGCATTACTGAAGCTGCTGACCAAATAATTGTTAAAACGTTAAACTCGACAAAGCATAGTTCTACTTGTGGTGATATATAGGTCAAATAGATGATGTTTCAGGAGATCTAAATTATACCGTCAATCTTGAATGACCTATTAAAAAACGAGAAGCCGGTGCCCATTTATAGAAAAATTTCTGATCAATAACTTTTGAAACGGAAGTCAATAAGTAGTTGTCACATGATTAGAATTGAAGGTGTTCAAAGAAGGTTCACTAAAGCTGATCTGGGGTATTCCGATAACAAAGACTATTACCAAAGATATCAACAACTCAACTTAGAGCCTCTTTGGATCAGACGTATCAAATTAAATTTTGTCTTTATCTACCGGCTTATTAACGGTATTTCCTACTCTTCGGTATCCACCCCTTCATACCTTATGATATCATCCCACAATCTACTCAATAAGGAGAATATTCTAGCGATTCCAAGAACCCACACAAACTTACGTCAGAATTTTTTCCTTATTCGCTACTCAACCATGTGGAACAGACTGCCAGTGAACCTCCGTTGCAGTGAAACTACAACCCGGTTTAAAAGTCTCCTTGACGATTTTCTTTCCGAAAGTGGATTATGTCACCTATTGAATATCAATGTATTCAATAATGATTTATACAAACAAGGTCCGTCATCCATTTAATTGCTTGAAAAGCAAAATAAAACCTTTAAATCTTTCCACATCTATTTTATTTTATTTCTATTTATCTTAATATATGAAATCTGGTTATGTTCGTGTTAATCATTATTACCGTTATTAATATCATTATTAGTTCCCCGACACATTAGATATTCTTTTTGTATCTTCTTATCCTTCTAAACATATTCAACTCTAGATTGTCCTTTAAAATCAATTTTGACTTTCATAGCATCAATCTTAATTATTATTGGACAAATATTTATACTAATATCCGGTTTCACTCTGTATACTATTACATAAATCTAAATGTATTCATCCGAGTGCTTTAACGGATTTTTATTTTATTTTTGCAATTTCTGGTTTCCTTCTGAGGTTCATATTCATTACACAATTATTATTCTTATCATGGATCAAAACTTTTCACTAGGTGTTCACTACTTTTCCCTCTTCTTTCCCTCTAAATAAATATTATTCTTAAGATTACGAAGTTTGTAATTAAAACAATAACTTGTGTTACACTTAAATTAACTTCTCAGACTCGTTTTATCTTCACTATGCATATATGACTCATACATATTGATATTTTATTATCCTTTTCATTTAATTGTAACTTTCATAGCATCACTCTAAACGAATGTCCGGCGCTTTAACCGGATTCCAAATCAATGGTGCACATGGACTCCAGTATCCTGAGGGAACAAATGGCGTATGAACCAATCGTTGGTCACCGGCTACCATAGGACTGCATCTCCTCACGATGCTCTACTGCCTTGTGGGTCAGGCCCTTAAGTCAAAGGCTCGGAGTGTGGCTCCCTAAGAAAACCACCTGCTTCGGTTTGGGCACCCGGGCAGTATCACAGCCCACACACAAATTGATGAACTCTTTATGCCTATGGAAATTACCTTTCTCGCTTTGAAAAACAAACAATTGATTCAGATTATTATCATTACAATTATTAATATTATTATTATTATTATTATTATTATTATTATTATTATTATTATTATTATTATTATTTTCCACATTATTCACCCTCTTTTAAACTTATACAGCGGCTCGTCTTTGGTGGAAATTCGACTGTATCTAAACGTTCTCGAGTCACTGTCCGGTTGAAAATTGTATGTTACTACCGAATATGAGGACTGAAGCAGTTTTTCTGAAACCGCGCGCGTCATTCAAACTGGCTGCCTTCAACGTTCGCACATTTATGCAGGTCGGACAACAGATAGGGCTATCTATGTCTTTGGGAAGTCTTCATATTGATGTTTGTTGTCTATCCGAGACCCGTATTCAAGACTCTGGTGAAGTACTACAAATTCGCTCTCCATCTGTCGCTTCTGAAAGCTTGTTTTACGTGCGCTTATCCGGGGACCCTGTGGCATCTTCGTCTGGTCTTGCTAGCATTGGTGTCGCACTGAGTGCTAGAGCTGAGGCAGCACTAGTCGATTGGATCCCCATAAACAGTCGGTTATGTGCTGTTAGATTAGAGAGTTCCATCAAAGTGAGAAGAAATCGTCGTGAGAAACGATGTCTGCGACAATCTTACCTTACTTTTCAGTGGCCAACGAAGTGACCGCCACCAACGGATTAATGTTAGCAAGCTGGTTGCAACTTCTGTTGCAAGTAAGTATCGAACCGAGCTAGCTTCTAGGCTAGCTACCATTCCACCGAAAAGTGTGGATGACTGTCCTGCCCTCCATGGCCGGTGACGACTGGTCCACCAAATGAGGCGGAAGTACGCAAGGAACTCCAACTCTTAAAGCGCTACAAACCACCGGGCCCATATGACTTACTTCCTACGCTTTTCAAAGATGGTGGTGACTTTCTGGTTAAGGAACTGACTGAGTTATTTACAAAGGTTTGGCAGTTAGACAGTGTCCCATCATTGTGGAATGAGTTGATAATTGTCCCTATCCTCAAAAAGGGTTCACATCGTCTCTATAACAACTATCGGGAGATATGTCTACTAACGATTGCGTCCAAACTATTGGCTTCCGTCATACTTCGTGGGTTGTTCAAAACTCGAGAAACATTGACTTGCGAGGAGCGGGCTGGTTTTCGTTCTGGTCGAGGATGTATTGATCATATCTTCACCCTCCGCCAAATGTTAGAACACCGCCATACTTATCAAAGGCCAACAATCTTAGTATTTCTTGACATCAGGGCTGCCTTCGATTCGTTGGATAGGACTGTTCTCTGAGATTGTCTATTGAGGAAGGGTGTGCCTGAGAAGTTTATTAACATCCTAAAAGCCCTATACACAAACACCTCAGGCAGAGTGAGGGCATACAACCACCTTTCTCCATTGTTCCATTCGAGCAGTGGGGTTAGGCAGGGTTGCCCAATCTCACCATTCCTCTCCAACCTTGCCATCGTCGATATTCTGGAAACAGCTCTGATGGATGTAAGTAATGGTGGTGTGGATCTGTTGCCTGGAGAAAGACTTCTCGACCTTGAGTATGCGGATGATATTGTCTTACTGTGCGATAAGGCCAAGCCATGCAATCCGTACTTAATCAGTTGGCAATCTGTGTCCGTAGGTATGGTATGTGCTTTGCACCTTCGAAGTGCAAAGTACTTTTACAAGACTGGCAGGATTCTAATCCTGTACTCACCCTGGATGGTGAGCAGTTAGAAGTAGTCGAGAAGTTAGTGTATCTAGGTAGCTGCATAAGTGTTGGTGGGGGTGTGAGTGATGAGATCAATGCACGTGTAGTGAAAGCCAGAGCGGCTTATGCCAATCTGGGTCACTCTAAACTATTACTGCACAAACATTTATTCTAGCGTCATATCTTACTGCAATTATAAGTTATTTTTTCTTAATTATTTTTTGTTACTAATTTAACACAGTGGTTTATTCTTGTTCCGTGTTCGTAAACACGCCTATTAGACTGTTTGCGCATTTCACGTCTCCTTTATTTCTATTCCCTTATTTTCTGCATTTCCTTCTTTAGACTCGATTCAATATTCTTCTCAATTGCACAGACCTGATTTATTATTATTAATATTCTACTATTGCTCAAAAAAATTTTTTTTAATGGCAAGTAGAATGCTGACATTAGTGAAAGTTGTGTATTATTGCATTTTTCTGAAGAAACCCAAAATGGTTTCTTCACAACACTTATGTACCCATAAGATGTTTGTGAATAATAATAATAATGATTTATGAACCTTTACTTATTGAATGATTTATTACAGTAAACATGAAATAGCTAGGTTTGTAATCTATGATTTTTTAGCGTTGGGAATATGGTTAAAGTAAGAGGATACTTTGTTTTTAATAATGCACAGGTTACCCGTCAACGGGTTTTAAATCTCACGCAAAAATCCTAAAGGTCGCTATCTGAACTGGGGTCGGATTGGCACTGTAAGTTATTTCCATCATTGTCTAGTTGTAAAATAATGATAATAAACCATCGTCTTATTATGTGTATGGTAATTTGTCGATAACTATTCACCGCTGATTTGTTTGATTAATGAATTCTTGTTGAAATTTTTTAGCTAGATCAATTGAATGCTTTGAGAAATCTAAGTCAAAATGAATCAATTTACCAGCAGTATGCCACATGCCAGTCGACATTAGACTCATCCGTCAAGATAAGAAGTTGTTCTACACTAGATGGTAACAGTTTGTCTACTTTAAATTCTACTCGCTCATATCCATCAACATCATTAAAACAACAAACACAACAACGAAACTTAAGTGGAACTTACTTATACGAAGTATTGAACATTGAAATAAATGGACTAATCAATCAAATTGAACGTGATTCAAGCATTCGAAAATATTTGGTGAAAATTATATTACCTAGCACTTCACATTACTTTCAAGCGAATACTACTGTTCAGGATTATGATAATGTTGTCCTATTAAAATTTGTGTCCATTTGGCGTCATTTTGGACAATATGTTTCATGGTTTACTGTTATATCAATGTCTGAGCATATTTTGAAAACTCTCAAAAATACAGACTGAATGAATTCATATAGAATCATGTATATATTTATACACCTTTTTTGTTCAAGAATTGAGTATATTATTTTTGCTGCGTTAGACGTTTTCATTTTCACACCACATTCGATTGGCATGATTGGCATTAGAATATATTTAGACACAGTTTTCATCACAAGACAACAGTCCTTGAAAAATTAGGAGTAACTCCATACGATGCACTACTAGTTAATGTATGAAGTGTAGATATTAGCTAACACAATTCTGACGGGATTGCAGTTGCAGTCATTCATGCTAATTAACTAGATTTCCATAAGAAGTCAATAAAACCGAACCTTAAATTATGATCAGTAGGTTGAACAAATTACTCCAATTTGACAGTGAACATCTGTAATGAAAATAACGGAATGTTGGAATAGATTTGTACGTAAATGGAAAATAACATAACTGTTAGTCATTGGGAGATAATTCATTGAAGTCAAAGTAGATGTGTTGGTATGACAGGAGACAAAAAAGCAGCGATGTACATAGTCACCAAAATCTGTTGCGATTGATGATAGTGTACATCTGCAGGATCATCAGATGACATTGCAGTGGTCTCCAATTAACCCATACCCCAGGCTACATATTGACACACTTCATGTTGATAGATGAAAACGTATTTGGGTCGTTTGTAATATGTTTCAATGAAGACTTGAGTAAGAATTGGTGGAACTTCGTGTTAACTGTGTGCATGGTCTGTTTGCCAAGTCGAGTTGCGATAATCACATGTTAGTTATCGAACCAGGCCTACTTGATTACCGACACTACCTATAAATCAGTAAGGGACTGGGAGTACCGTTTCTTTTCCTTGTTGCACACTAACATGTGTGGGTTTGGCTATGATGGCTGACGTAGATGGTAGTGTGGGTATGGGGATTACTTTAAGATGGTCCTTAACTGTCTTCCACTTAACATCGTTCACCGTGCAGGCAACATTGACGATGATCTGATGAATACAGTATATATCCGCCGGTGATTGTGATGCTTACGCTAGATATTGTATTTAATTGTAATGTTATTTTTACAGCACAGCTTTACTTAGAGTATGTTCACAGACATCGAGATAGGGCCATCTCACTCACAGGTGAGTTATTGCACAATAACTGTGTAGAATGATGGGAGTATTTGTCGATTTTTGGTTAGATCAGTGAACGGGTTTTTAGTTGGGATTAGTCGTTTGACATCAGGGTAGGTTCTAGTTAATGCAGTTTGTAGTCTTCCGTTGATTGTTCATCCAATATCATTACCTTTAAAGGCGGCTTGACAAAAGGTGATTAAATGCAGTTTCTTCTACTTGCTTGTCTCTACTTCGCCATCCGTCCATTAACTATTGGTAACATTAACTTTGGACACTCCCGAAATTCTATCTTATCTTCACGTTTTATATTCCGGCTACAGAACTTGTAGTACAGGGTGGTCAGGCCTTTCTTAAAAGACGAACAATTCCTCATGATCTTCGAGAAGCAGTACATAAGACATTAAACGATTTGTGTGCGAAAAATATAATCGGACCGATTCACTCTTTAGCATGTGGTACACCTATTGTTATGCCATTGAAGTTGACCGAAGCTGCTACTTTGACGCGGTGGTCGGGCTTGCCTATCGTGATGACCCAACCGACCTATATTGGCTGGGGCATATGTCTCTGTAGGTTCTACCATGCCAGGCAGGTCGATTGGAGAACGGTAAGACTAAAAGCAGCAACTCAAGGTCTGAGGGCGAAGTCGTACTGCTGACTGTACAGAGGTGTGACAGCAGTAAGGTGTTTCCTTCGGACAACCAGCATGACAGCGATGCTGCCTTCCCACAAGGAGGGGTGGGGTTAGAAAAGGTCGACCCTAAAAATGTCACACCTCACCTTACCTCACGGATTTCCGTCTCCGGCGGTAAGGCCCTTTGAAGAACGGAGCTAACACGTTAAAAACCTTCCACAAAAAGGCCGTGCGCGACCGGCCTCAAGCAGTTGTCCCTTGGGCTCTGCGGTCACGCTCCCAGGTCGTCAAGACCAACACTAATCCAATTTCCTTTTCAGGTTCCTCAAGAAATACCCTTCCACGGTGTGGGCAGCCGGGAAGTGACATCAGCCCTCATACCCGTAACAGCACAAGAGACCAAGTTGGTCACATTCAAATCCTTCCTACACCTCCTAATACCTCTCTTATCTCCATGACTAACCCTCCTCACGTCTCTTTATCACCTCGCACCGCTAGGGCAAACGATTCGAGTACGTGGAACGCCATTCCTGGTCTCCTGAAACCACGCTCTAAACTACACGTAGGAGCTTTTAACGTACGAACACTTTGCCAAATAGGACAGCAGGCTTCCTTAGCTAAAACTTTAGAATCTCGCGCCATCGATGTGTGCTGCGTCTCCGAAACGCGCATACAGGATCCGAGTAGCGTCATTCATTTGACCTCACCATGCCAAAATAAAGAACCGACTCGATTTACGCTTCGTGTATCTGGAAGCCCTGATTCTGCTTCCCGTGGCCTCGCCGGCGTAGGTATAGCATTGAGTCCTAGGGCAGAACTAGCTCTCTTAGAGTGGATCCCAGTAGACAGTCGTTTGTGCGCTGTCCGACTGAACGGAACAGTAAGAATCCGAAAAGATAGGGACACTCGTCGTTGCCTCTTCGTCGTCTCTGCCTATTCTCCCACTGACTGCAGCTCAGATGATGTAAAAGATGAGTTTTACAGAAAGCTTTCGGACCTTCTCCGAAAAGCTAGGCGCTCGGATGTAGTAATAGTGGCCGGTGACTTTAATGCTCAAGTAGGTAAACTAAGCGATAGGGAAAGACACCTAGGTGGATCTTATGGTCGTGGCTCAAAGAACAGATAATGGCGACCGTCTGTTGCAGCTATGCTCAGATAACCGCCTGTTCCTTGCAAATACTAACTTTAAGCATAAGGAAAAACATCTTTTAACATGGCGACCCCCTAATTCGTCCCAACGTTGGACCCAAATAGATCACATCGCTATCAGCCACCGATGGAGGGGCTCGATAGAAGACTGTCGCTCATTCTGGAGCACATGCCTAGATTCAGATCATGCTCTAGTGCGAGCGCGTATTTGCTTGCGTCTTACTGGACGTAGGAAAGACGCTGCAAGGAAACCTCTTAGGGCCCTACTTAATGATAGTCAAGCTAAGAGTATATTTCAGGAACAACTAGGAAAACAGTTAGGCAGCCATGTATGTGATGCCCAACCCGAGGCAGCATGGAATGATATCCGAAAAGCTGTGGAAACAGCAGTGATATCTGCTAGTAAGGTAACCCGTGAGGTTAGGGAGCAACACTGGATCTCAGCAGCATCTATCGCACTGATAGATGCTCGGAAACTCATTCCACCTGGCTCTGAACATAATGAAGAGCGGAGTCAGCTTAAGCGCAAGCTGACAAGAAGTCTACGCAATGATCGTGAACAGTGGTGGGTAGCGAAAGCAAGAGAGATGGAAAAGGCAGCGGCAATAGGTAATAGCAGACAATTGTTCAGACTCGTTAAGGAAACCGGAATTAGGAACCCGACTGTTAGCGAAACAATCTCAGAGAAAGATGGACATATTATAAATTCTCAATCCAGGAGATTGGATCGATGGGCAGAACACTTTAGGGATCAGTTCAACTGGCCTTCAGCCACACTTCGGTTTCCCACGATCTCCAGTCAACCTGAATGGCAAGTTAATGTAGGTCCTCCGTCTCTTTACGAAGTTGAAAAAGCCATAGGAAATCTGAAACGAGGGAGAGCAGCAGGCCCTGACAGGTTTACTCCTGAGATTTTTAAGGATGGTGGTCCAGTATTAGCAATGAGATTAACTGAGGTCTTAGGTAGAATTTGGGAACTGGACGTAATCCCATCTGACTGGTCTCAATCACTGATTGTGCCAGTCTATAAGAAAGGACAAAAGTCCTCTTGTGACAATCACAGAGGAATCAGTTTGACTAATATAGTGTCTAAAATATTAGCTTCAATAATACTTCGACGCCTAATCAAAGCTCGTGAAGAGCAGATTAGAGAAAACCAGGCCGGTTTTCGACCTGGACGTGGTTGTATAGATCAGATATTCACACTACGTCAGGTTCTAGAACACAGACACACATTCAGACGCCCCACAATGGTAGTATTTCTCGACCTTAAGGCGGCATTCGACTCTGTTGATCGTGAGGTTCTATGGCAGTGTTTGTCACTGAAAGGAGTACCAAAGAAGTACATTAACCTTATAAAGGCTCTCTACTCGAACACAACTGGTAGAGTGAGAGCTTATGGCGAACTGTCATCAGAATTGATTACCTCAAGTGGTGTTCGTCAGGGCTGTCCACTCTCCCCATTCTTGTTCAACTTTGTCGTCGACGTACTTTTAGAGATAACACTTTCCTCATCTAAATTTCCAGGGGTTGAACTTCTACCGGGAGGTTCACTTGTTGACTTAGAATATGCTGATGACATAGTTTTATTTGGTGAAGACGCTGACAAAATGCAGAGTCTTCTGACCACTCTAAGCAACAATGCAAGCATGTTCGGGATGCGATTCTCCCCTTCGAAATGCAAAATGTTGCTTCAGGATTGGGTTACATCGACACCCGAACTAATGATAGGGAGTGAAGTAGTTGAGTGTGTCGACCGCTTCACTTATCTTGGAAGTCTCATCAGCCCTTGTGGTCTGGTGTGTGACGAAATCTCAGCACGGATACAGAAGGCTCGACTAGCTTTTGCCAACTTGCGTCATTTATGGCGTAGGCGAGATATCCGTCTATCAACCAAAGGACGGGTTTACTGCGCAGCAGTTCGTTCCGTCCTACTTTATGGCAGTGAAACATGGCCGGTAAGAGTAGAGGATATCCGTAGGTTACTAGTATTTGATCATAGGTGTCTTCGAAACATTGCTCGTATATCCTGGGACCATCGAGTAAGTAATGCAGTTGTTAGGAAACGGGTACTAGGTAAGGATGGCAAATCAATTGATGACGTAGTGAAACTTCATCAGT